CAATAATTCCATATTTCGTATAAACTGACGACATACTTCATAAACATCTTAGGAAATAAATATGACCTTTGAATGAGTTTAGCTCAATCTCAGGTCAAATACTTTCCATTTAGCAGTCACAATTAATATTATTTTACTTCTGGGTCTTTATAAAAATAAATAAAATGTTTCCCCCTGCTGACAGAGCACTAAAGTGACAAAATCTATCAACGTATCAAACTGATAAGAGATAACGACGAATAAAATCACTTCAGACGTCTCATTTCAGTCCGAATAGACTCAACACCTTTGGCTTTCACTTTCCAGAAAGTTGATAAAGCAATATTATTATCAATATTATATCAATCACAACTCCAGTGTTTTTCATTTACAACTCCAGATCTTTTTTTCCAACTCCAGAAAGACCTAGCAAATCCAGCTTAGAATAACCCCTGCTACATACATTTTATTTTATTAAGACCTAAGCAGAAGCAGGCGGAGGCCTCTGTAGCTCAGTAGGTCGAGGCACTGCACTGGAATCGCAGGGCCACCCGTTCGATTCCTGCCAAAGGGCCTATAGTTGCGTGTATAAAATAGAATGTATAAAAATTAAAATTTACACTTGAAATTTCCATTTAGTATCCGCAAACCCGTCTAGTCTAACTGGCAGACACTGACTCTCAGGGCCTCTATTGATACTAGAAGCTTTTTCTGAAAGGGCTACCCTGCATTTTAAGTGTCGTTTCATACATGTAGCCGAGGGGCATAGGTGAAAGAGGAGAAAGAAAGAGGATGAGAAAGGAGAGAAAGAAGGGGAGAAAGGATAGGCTTGCCCCCCCCCCCCCAATCATTTTTAAGTCAGGCAGATTGTACTTAAAAATCTGGAAAATTCTACTTAATAAAATTCTACTTAAAAATCAAGCAAATGCTTAAAGGGGAGAGCGACGCGTATTAAAATAGTCGAAAAAGGAAGAAGTATGTAACCTTTTCAAAATCTCTCAACTGATGTCTCCAAAATTTATGGCCGACGCCGACTCTCCCCCACCCCCTTAGCCTCACACCTCACTCGACGCCGACTCTCCCCCACCCCCTTAGCCCCACACCTCACTCTCCATCGACAGAAATTTTAGGAATTTTCTGACGCAAAAAATGTAGTGTTCGTTGAAGTAATTTGCGTCAACGACGGGCAAACATTTTCCTTCCCGTATGCCTATGCAAAGGCACGTTACTAGCCACTACTCACTAAAGATTACAAATTTATAGAATTCCGTGCTTGAAAGTTGAAAGGATCTATTAACAAATGTACAGTATAGTAAGTACAGTAAACATGCCCAATTTAAGATAAGTGGTTTAGCACCCGACCGCGCAATTTCAACAGTCGATAGCTATATCACATTACACTGTTGTGGCTAATCACATTTGGTATGACAACATACGCCAACCGCCAATTATACATATAATAGGGACACGAAGCTGAGAAATTAAACAAATCCCAGGCTGGGATTGACTAGACTGTGTGTATGACTTTCACTTACGAAAGTGGTGATAACTATCGAAAAATATAAATGGTATAAATTGTTAATCCTTCGCTATCTTTCGAAATTGGAATAATCAATTTGTAAACAAAGGATAATGCTGTAATTATACAGCATTAGCAAACGGTTGGCAAATCTCGTGGAGTCATTATTTGGCAAACTTTTGTAATGGGGAGCGAAAGTCATTTGTGTGGTTGGCATTTACCGCCTATTGAAGCGCCCAATGTCGCCGAAACTCGTCCAAAAATCAAATGTACACAACGCGTTATGAACAGAATGAAATTTAAAACCAAACCGTCTGAAGCAGAGCAATTTCGACATTTTTCTGACGCAGGGAGATATATTGATGAATATCGAAAAAAAAACAGTGTCGCAAGCCGTGGGACGATGGAATGGGGAGGAAGTAATGTGGTTAATAATAAAAGCATGGAAGGAACAGCGGATGATGAAAAGTTTTCAAAATATATTGATATAAGGTTTGTATTACGAGATTGACATTTTTCATCATATATTTAGTGGAGTTTTAATGAGCAAACAAGGCACGGACAATGAAATTTGATTTACAATTGATTTACAATTGTCAATTTATCTTCGTCGATCAGGTTCCGACAATGAGCTAACAAGCGTATAGCGTAAAATATTTATCATTTGCGATGTTGGGTACGATTACAGGTCGGATTAAAGCTAGAAAACGTAGGAGTTTTGGTAATCTTATACGCCTTTTAACATGAATAGCATTTTTAGGGCTGTTTATCTGACCTTTTGGCTTGCTAATACTGAAAAATATGTTAATGACTTTTGACAGATCGTTTTTACAAATGCGTGAAAATGGAACGTAGGGAAAACGCCATGCACGTGAGAAAAATAAATAGTTTTTATAAAATTCAAATCTTTTTTATATGCACATACAATAATATATATACAAGCAATAAGCGTTGCAGTTTCCGCGAAAAAACTAGTCACGCGCTTTCGAAACGTGATAATATGTCTTTCGCAGCTGGCAAAAAAATACAGCACTGGATAGCGCTATCTACCTGATAATGATTATAAGTTACGGATAAGTTATAAGTTACGGATATGCACCCCATAAGTTACGGATATGCACCTCACAATTGGTGAAAAGAAACTTCAGTTTATAAATAATAAAATTTAATCTGGGTTATACCAATCAACGAGTTATTTTAGTAAGATTGAAAAAATCACTTGTCCGGTAGATTGATCCAGCCTTCGCGCCTTCGTACAACCGACAAAAAGTACTTGCATTTTTGTATTCGAGCCAAAGCATACATTAGTACATTACTAAACTTTATTTGCCTCTTAAAAGTACTTATCCCAGTGAAATTATATGAGTGAATTCACATGAAACACCCAAAAAGGCCTTCCAATGTTTTAACTGTTGGCGTGGTTTAATATGCATGAGCCGTAAAAATGATGTAAAAGACTGGTTTTAATACACTATCAAAGTTTCTGTGATCACAGTAGGAATTTTGCACAGGTAAATTCTAAGTTTTGAAGGATTTGTAAGAAATATTTGAGCTAAACGTTGCAGTTTAAACAACTACGCCTACGGCCGTACTAGAATGGCAGAATGCTCAAGGGAATACAATTACGTTATAGTCGCCTTTGAAAATTAATATACGTAAATTGCATTACACTGTGACAATACACTTGCTTTCGCCTTTATATTATATTGCAACATCTAATAACCATATAACTATTAGCCTGAGTATCAGCCCCTAGGGGCTTCTATTACTGAAGCCTGCCGCACACCAGAGAAACTTGCCGGAGCTGAACGCCTCGCGTGGCGGCTAGCTCATCCATGCATTTTCACCGCACACGTTGGGGAAGCTACTCAACAGCAACGTCGACATATAGACAGCTCTGTATATGTATCTACTCTGTGTCGTTGATAAGATCGTTTGCATTTCCCTCCATTGTCGCCATTTCGACAAAAGTCACGTGAAGAAACTATGGGTTCTCATTGGCTACTTAATTCAAACAGCTCAGTACTAAAAACTCGCATGTGCAACATCCGCAGACGTTGAGATTTTTTCCTCGCGAAGTGAAAAATATCAAACACGATAGATATTTTTCTCAAGTTTCTGTGATCACAGTAGGGAATCAGTCTTGCATAGGTAAATTCTAAGTTTTGAAAGGATTTGTAAGAAATGTTTGACGAAACTGACTCGGTGTTTAACACACCATTTCTTACAAATCCTCCAAAACTTAGAATTTAACTCCTACTGTGATCACAGAAACTTTGATAGTGTAATAACCAGGCTTAAGTAATTCTTACAACCAAACAAATCCAGTTTTATAGTAGATGAAAAAAATAATTATTTTTTCACAATGCAAATGAAAAAAGTACTAAAAAAGCAACAGGAACTACGCTTTCTTAAAATAAAATAAAACAAAATTGGAAACAAATTTCAGTGAAACATTCATCTTGCAACACTCTTTCCAATCTAGAGTTCCAGAGAAGAAGATTTGCCTGACAGGTTTACCACAATTGAGACCTCCACCCAAGCACGTCATTCGAACGAGGGCAATCCACGAAACATCGGAGGGAAGACCATTTCTCGCCGGCGTCCCCCATCTCCCTCACTTGAAGTTAAGCGGGGCTACAAAGACTGTAGTGAAACGAAAAATGAACAGAAATGATGAACAGAAACATAAAAGAACACATTGCAAGAAGAAGCAAGGCAGACTGCCATATTTAAAACCTCCAGAACTAGAAATGTGATGGGAATTAGGTCTTATAGGCCGTGTAGATAAAATACTCAAATGCGCAAAACTAAGGGACCGTTCATTATTTATGGCAGGGGCCGAAGAGAAAAGGATCGGGTAAACAAAATTTTGAGCGAGTATAAAAGATTGGGTAAATAAAAAACAAAATAACTCACGTGTTGGGTAATAAAAATTCATTGTTATTTCCAAAGCATGGCTCACTCAAATATATTGAAGACTAAAAAGTAATTTCAACAGTCATAATACAATATATAAATCAATCAATCAGAGTCATTGTCTGATTGGTTATTTGGCAAACGGTGTCTCCAAAGAAAGTACATCTGCAGACAACATGAAACTATAGAATGCCAAAAATTGCACAAGCAGTTATCCAACTCATGTCACAGAAGAGGTAAAGGACACGTGTGACAACTGAATGGTATCTTTTTGGTCAGGGATGGGTATTTATTTTCTAATTGATATATTTTTGAGGTTAGGTAAAATTTATTTTTACTTTTCAGTGGTTGGATTAGCCAAATTTTTACCAAGAAAAACATTTCACTTCGGTGTCTTCCCCCGCCATAAATAATAACCGTTTCCTAATAAGCCAATTCAGAGTTTGAACTGCGCATCCAATTAAATGACGCATGCTGCGTGGGATAAATTACAGTTGAACTATAATATCTGGCTGAGACTGGAAGAATTAAAATATGCATATCAAAGTATTATTCAACTGTTCAATCATCATTTGTGTTTCACTATAGCTCCAATTGAATTGTCATTAAATCATTTCATGAGTAATGAGTAATGAGTGACGAGTAATAGGTAATGAGTAATGGGTAACGAGTAACGAGTAATGAGTAATGGTTAATGGGTAACGAGTAATGAGTAACGAGTAATAGGTAATGAGTAACAAGTAATGAGTAATGAGTAACGAGTAATGGTTAATGACTAATGGTTAATGACTAATGGTTAATGAGTATAACGAGTAACGAGTAGTGGGTAATGAGTAACGAGTAATCGTTAATGACTAATGGTTAATGAGTAACGAGTAGTGGGTAATGAGTAACGAGTAACGAGTAATGGGTAATGGGTAATGGGTAATGAGTAACGAGTAATGATCAATGAGTAACGAGTAATGATCAATGAGTAACGAGAAATGAGTAATGGGTAATGAGTAATGAGTATTGGGTAATGAGTAACGGGTAACGGGTAATGAGTAATGAACTAGTAATGGGTAACGAGTAATGGGTAACGAGTAATGAGTAATGAGCTGAGTAACGAGTAATGAGTAACGAGTAACGAGTAACGAGTAACGAGTAATGGATAACGAGTAATGGGTAATGAGTAATGAGTAACGAGTAACGAGTAATGATTAATAATGAGTAACGAGAAATGAGTAATGGGTAATGAGTAATGAGTATTGGGTAATGAGTAATGAGTAATGAGTAACGAGTAATGGGTAATGAGTAACGAGCATTGAATTTTCGAACTTACATTAGAAAGAGAAAGCATAAAAACATTGACAATGTTTCCACTCACTCCTTGCCGTGAATAATAATCATGTGACAGTGTCGGCAGTGTAAACTGGTATATAGCATACTCGCTTTTAGCATGTCACATATTAACCAGTTCAGCCTTCAAAACGATCGTCTCCAAGTTGACTGAATAAAATGTTCGCAATAGTATAGAATACAAGTTCTGTCCTATAAAGGTTGGTTTTATAATAAATTTTCGGCCGCCATATCTGCGGTCACTGAGCCATGCAAACCGCAATTGACGTCCAACAGTTTTTAAGCTCGTAAACACTTTCCATACCATTGTGTTCGGCTAAATTCAGGTTTTTCCCATGCGAAATGTCGATAACTAAGTTTTCAGTTTATAAAACCAAGATATTACTCTTTAAATCGAAGAAAAAAACACGCAATTTCTGCTCACGTTGACTCCGGATTTGTGTCGACCGCTACTTAGTGTTTACTTTGTATTCTACTATTGCGAACATGTTGGTCAACTTGGAGACGATCGTTTTGAAGTGGTTAATATAACTGGTTCATATGTGACATGCTAAACGAGTATGCTATATTTGGTCATACCAGTTTAAACCGCTGACACCGTCACACAGTGGAAAAACCTTCCGACAAAACCTTCAAATTTTCGACAACCCCCCCCCCCCCAATTTGCACCCGAAATTCGTCAACTTTTGTTTGGGGGGGGGGGGAAACCCCACCGAAATTTCCGCCACTGCTGTCACAGCATTACTAGTTATTCACGAAAGGTCGAGTGAGTGGAATCACTGTCAATGTTTTCATGGTTTATCTTTCCAAAGCAAGTACGAAAATTCATTACTCATTACTCGTTACCATGGTTAAAAGCGGGCATCGTGGACATTTGGAGATAATAGGGAATCTTCATTCTTCCCGTCATCCCCCGCGCGCCCACTTCTCTGCCTAGCCCGCGACTGCCCGCAAGCCAAATTTATGGAAAGCAAACAAACAGTAGCGTAACGGCTCATTGGTTAGGGTTAGTTAAAAAACTAAGGGTCCCCAACAGTTAGGGGCCCCCATCAGCCACGGCACATAGGCCAGAAAATTAGAAAATGTAAAAAATGCAGGTGAAGAATCAATGGGAAAATGAAAAAAATAATAATGCTAAATAATGAGGCCTCCGATCGACAACGGTAGCTGATTTATTTATTCCATCTCAAATAAAACAAAATTAGTTATTCTCAAAAGTTGTTACATGTGTTGGAGACTGTTATTCATAGGCGTACCGGGCGGGGGGGGGCGGGAGGGGGCAGTAGCCCCCCCAGTTTTTTGGGCAGTCGGGCAATATTCGATCAACAGTCGGGCAATTTTGGTTTGCAAAAAAAAAAATGGGACAAATTCTGCCAATTTTGTCTAAAATGAAGTCAATTTTTTGGCAAATTTTGCGATTTTTCGAAAATTTGTGTTATGTTACGAAAAATATTGGTTGTCCGGAAAAATTTTTTGACCCCTAAAATGGTACACTGACCGAAATTTTTTTGGCGACGGGGGGGGGGGTCGCCAAAATAATTTTTCCGGAAAAAATTTTTTGGTACTAGTCGGGCAGAATCCCGAAAAGTCGGGCAATTTTCTTTCCGCCCCCCTAATTTTTTCCTTCCGGTACGCCCATGCTGTTATTCAGTATCATTGTTGTACACACGGAATTTTCCAGAACATTCTATAAATATTCAATATAAATATAATAGAGACCTTACGATTTTAGGACGGCAACGCGACGGCGACGGCCAAAACAAACTCCTTCAAAAAAATGGTAGTAAAGATAGTTCGTCGCATATGAAGATAAAGAAAAAAAGAGTAAAACATTTTCCGTACGTGTTGACACGAGTAACACGACGCCCATGTATATTATCAATCGTATGAATTTAATACAGTTTTAGAAGTTGAAGACATGGGTTTTATGATTGGGAAGAGTTCTGCTAAACCCAGTTTGAAGTTGCACTTGTTGTGGCTTGGAATGCAGCCGTTGTATCAAGACGTGAAAATCTGTGATTTGGCCTACTTCTATTAACTGTGAATAGAGCGAGGAGAATGTCTAAATTATTCATATATTGTAATTACCCAATTCTTTTCAATGATCTATTGTATTGGTAACCCGGGGTCCCCACATCAAATATGCTTAAACGCCCCCTCTTTATCCGTTACGCCACTGAAAACAAACTCATAGAAAGAAAACAAACTACAAAGCCTCTGCGGAGGAGAGCGACTCGTTACCCATTACTCATTACTCGGAATACAAACACCCGACGTGACCCAAAGTGAAAGGGGCGTTTTCCAAAATTATAAAGCATGCCGGCAGGCGTTTATTTCCCTTGGGTGGTCTTCTATAAACGCATGTTCGCAGGCTACCCCCAGGGCCAGCCTGCCTCAGGGTGTCGTGCATGTTTCTCCGCCCTCGGGCGTCGTGTTACTCGTGTCAACACGGAAAATGTTTTTGCTGCCGCAGCGAGCGAGCATTAAGCGAGTGAGCAAGGCAGCAACTAACTAAAATCGTACAGCTACTCAAAATCTCAATCTTGCTAGAGCCGCAAAGCATGTTGGTTGAAAGTCATTTTACCAACATGCAACGCGCGGCGATATGAATGAACTTCATTCGAGCACGTGTTCTCTTTTTCTCGAGAGTTGAGAGCGAACAAACAAAGGTTAGTAACTGAACAATGGTACCTGCGAGGTCGGGATTGCTGCGGGAATTAAGAGCAAATAGAACTAAATAGTACAAATTACTGATAAAGCACAATTATTACTCGCAGCGAGCCAACTGAGAAAACTTGGCTTGTTGCCACGATCAGGGGTTAAAGGGCAATCACAGGTGACAGATATTAAATATGTGCGTCTCATTGAATACTTGCGTGTTATTTAATGTTAACAAGACGCCTACTCAGGCGTTCACACTGGCCTGAAAATAACGAGATACGTGCTATGGCGCAAAAGGCAGGAATACAAATCTTAAACCGCAAGCAAATTTTATGGACTTTTTAAAAAAATAAAAGATCTTTTCGGGAGACGTAATGGTGCAAATCTATTACTAGGAGTTACTATTGCAAGGAAAGTGCTGGCCTTTATGGCGTATTAACAGAATGCAAAAATTTATACTTCTAGACAATTCTCGGTTATATCCCCAATGTTTCCTTCTCGTTCATCATTTAAGCCCGTTCACAAACTCATTCTTAAATTGTGTGCACGGAATACGAGTACATAGGCATAGCCAACATGAAAATGAAGCCCGCATTGGGTCAAAAGTGGATATTAAGGTCTATTACAATACACACTACTTTTGTCTTAACTCTGGCTAACGCCAGACCAATTTACACTCTACGCCAGACGATTTTACTTGTTAGTGGCAGAGTACTGTCAGTAAATGGGTTAACAAACAGTCTGACATTGGTAATCCATTAACAGGCAATGCACCGCTTTAGTATTCTTTAGTAACTCTTCAGAATTTGCTCAGAGTCAATGTGAGTAAAATACATCTTGTATTCAAGCGCTTTCATGTACAAAGTTTCGTTTGAATACGGCGCAGAGTAGGAATATTTATTTTGAATTTTTCAAAATATCGGGATTTTACTCGCACGCACGTTTATAGCTCGATTGATGGACGTGCAAATCATGCCGACCTTGTTTTGACTTTTGATCGCCATGCTAAAAATATAAATATTCTGTAAATACCGAAATAAAAGATAAAAGTCCCAAGACACAAGCTTGAAAATAACACTTTCGATTCTGGTTCCAATAATATTATTACGAAAAAGATATGTCCAAAGGGGCCGAAATTATGTTCGGCAAAATGTATGGCCATGGCTAGTTTACATTGTTTGTTATATTATGAAATATGATACCATACTTGTATTAAAATTTGCGTCGAACTAAATGTTATTGTATTAGGCAAATGAGTAGACTTGCCACAAGTCCTGCCTCCTCCGCAGGCCCTTACTGTTTGTAGATCAGTGTATATATAGACATATCAGTTTAATATATAGATCAGTGGCTGAACAAATCTGTTGTGATGCATGCTGGGAAGACGAAACAAATTAAAATAAGGGCCTGCCAAGTCGTGACTCGAAAATCTGCGAATTTACTCGAAAATCTGCAAATGGGCTAAATGCTGAGAAATACGGAGAAATACGAAGAAATACGCCACCAAAAAATTCCACTTGAAAGAAGCTATATGCTCGAACATTGTAGGTAGCCATAAAATATAAACTAGCGATACTCGAACAACGTAAACTAGCCATACCATACCTATATACAATATCGAACAATGTAAACAATGTATGGCCATGTATCACTATAAAGCCATACCTTTCGCCGAATATAACTTCGGCTCCTTTTAACGTATCTTTTTCGTATTAGTCTTGTTCGAATCACAATCCAACACACTATTTAGAGTGTTATTTTCCAGCTTGTATCTGCAGATTTGTATATTTTATTTCGGTATTTAAAAATATCTAAATTTCAGCCGGTGGCACGCGCGTGCGAGTAGAAACCTGATATTTTGAAAAATTCAAAATAAATGTTTCTGCTCGTCGTATTGAAACGAAACTCTCTACATAAAATCGCTTGAATACAAGGAATATTTTACTGCTATTAACTTGGGCGAATTCTGAAGAGTTTAGAAGATATTCAAGTTTTTCTCGATATGAAATAAGAATGTTTGGCCAAGCGGCAAGTAAATATACGATTGTTTTGGTTTGTGTCATGTTATGACGGCATTTGACCCCCCGTTCGAAAGGTTATTTTATGAGGATTTCAATGGTGGTTTTCGTTTTAAAGGGCGAGCAAATACTTGCCGAGATATTTTTATCTTCCCCACTCCAAAGTCGGAAATGCAAATATGAACCGGACGACAATCCTTCGTCCACAATTACAGCGGACGCCATCTTGAATGCAGGATTTGCCAGTCGCTTCGCAACTCCTCCCCTTCCCATCGTCCCGCGCGCCCCCATTAATTTTCGTCTTTTACTAATTAATTATTTGATAGCAAGCGACTGGGGACGAGGCAGCCACAAGTCGACCTCAAACGAAATGCGTACGTTTCTTCGAGGTTGAATGAGAACCATACATGTCAATAATGGTTCCAGTTTTTGTTGGTATTTTGAACGCACGCTTTATCTTTAGTATAGGCTACCACATGACAAAGCCTTTCGCGCGGATTATATTTCGTGCAGTACTAAAATTTCCGCACCCAGCGGCCAGCGCTACTAATTCTAGTACTGCGCGCATTTTAACACATGTATTTAAAGGTATATTATCGACATTTGACTAAAACTATCGTAAGGAATTAAGTACACAAGGGATGTTATGAGTCCACGACGTATATTTATAGTTGTTTATTAAAAATTCAAACTGTCAAACCTTTAACTTGTCCTTGTTTAAATATCCTTCTATATATTGTATAAATTCGCTGGGTCCAAATTTTGTGGTTTTCGAGTCGTTACACAAAGAAAAACACATTAATTCAACACGCAAGAAAGTCCAGAGTTCGACGCAACGTAAATTCCATAGAAAACCGGCACAATTCTTTGAAAATTCAACGAAACTGTGTAAAATATAGTTTGATCACTCTGTGAAAAGTCGCCATTGGAGTTCGGAATTGTGCGCGTGCGTACAAGTGTATGGGCTAATAAACGCAAAATGTACCACAAGCATGGCATGAGTCGGCTATTACGTACATAAATACCGAACTTATTACTATACTATCTAAATCATGTGACCGAGAGAATCGATGGCATTTTGGCTTAATCGTTGCATCATGAGCCTGCGATGAGCTAACGCAAACTCGATTTCTCGACTACGAAAAAAACAGAAAAAGGGGGATTTAAGACACTTGGCCCTACAGGCCAGTGTAATTAATGTTTTATGTTTATGGAAGTAATATTCACTAAAGCATAAGCAAGAATATATCAAGTGGAATCTGTTGAACTGCGCGCTGCTTTTATAGTACGCGTACAAATACAAACGACAAATACTATCGGATTTCATATTATAATGTCTAATACTGCTATGCGCTTTTACCACATTTATATATACTTAATGTATACAGTATTAACTAAGAATTCAGCGTTTCGATTTTACTGCATTTTAGATAGTATTTTAACACGATGTGTAGTTGTAACATAACACCAACACACAAAAAAATAGGTACGCGACGCGTACATGTATCTGCGAAAAAACTTGATTCACATTTTGTATTTTCTTGAAAGAAACTGAATAATGAAGATGACATGGGACAATTGAAATATTTCATCACTTATTATAATGGCAGATAAGATTTAAAACAGGGCTGTACACAGCGGGGAGTGCAGCAGGGCAAGTACAACCACCCCCCCACCCCCCCACCACGCACGAGAAAATTTAACTAACTTTATAATGTGATTATGATTGTAACAGATAATTATGCAGTCAGGAAATAAAAATTTCATGCAAACAATATTCAAACTGTCTATACAGCCAGCTATTTAGTAAACTGTCACCTGTCAATTCAATCCATACTCATCAAATTTTCAAAACTTTATTGTAATCATATGAAGCAAAAGTTATGTCACTTGTTGTTTACACTTGCCAATGTTAACTGTTGAGTAACATACACAAAATATTTGGTGAACATGTCGAAGACCACTGAATAATTGAGAATGTTTTGAAGGTCATGAGTGAAGTATATATTAAATAAATTCCAGTTCTGTGCACAGTTAATGATATACCACACTGTTCGGTTTAACACGTACAGCACATTCACACAAAAACAATCGTGTTGTGGGAGATTATCGGTTTGAGTAGAAGGTATCACAAGTTTAGTTTTGTACATTGTGTGCCATTGATCAAATCCACCATATAATATATATGATTATTCATTGTAGCTGTTAAGTTTTTTTCCATAACAATGAATTTAGGTAAGATTGTCTTGCAAGTTGGTTGTTCTGACAAAATTATCCAGCCAATATCCAGCACATTCACAACCTCGTCCCCAGGGTCTTCTTCGTGCATGGCGCGTGAAAAATGAGAAGACCCTGGTAAAGGCTGTGAAAATCTCCACGATTCATGGACATTTTAGTGCATGCGCAAAAGCGAATTTGCCTTGGCGCTGACCAATTCATTGCTGGCGTCCAAATTTTTCATGGCCTTCTTGAGATGAAATATTTCAGTTTGGAAATGTATTTTTTTGCTAAAATATACCTCTAGATAAGTAATTTCTCTTCAAAAATTAAGATGTCTAGAGAGAGAAAGTAACAAGAAGCTAGCACGTCTAATTTTTATCTCCCTGGCCGAAGAATTCGCGTTGTTTGTCATGTCTCACGGCTGCTTGCACTGGCAGTCTGACAACACTGTCACTGTGAAGGTAATTGAAAAACTACAATATATTATTGTTATTTATATTATAATTCAACATATAATGGCCCTATGACTGGTGCTAATATGCCTACAAAGTATTTTTTTAAAGCGCTTAGTTTTGAGAAATTATAATTTGATAATGAAAATTTACTAGTGGGCCATAGACTCATATCCATTTTACACTGTGAACGTTGGCACTTGTTTAAGTTATTTTGACTAAAAATTATCGCATGTTAATAAATACTCAAGTATATAATAATACTGTAATTTATAGTTTATTCCCTTGGAGCATGCAAAGTGCCTACATGTGGAATAATTTGCCTTAGATCCACAGCTCTCATACAGATTAGAACTCCCATAAATTCTTTTACACATCCTAGTACATTTTACCATTCTAAAAGTGCATTTCCCCATCCCCTTTCAGACAGCAGAAATTTCATTTGTATTGTGAGTTTATATTGTGCACTGAATGGTGAATCAGTAAAACTAAAAGATTGCCAACCAGTTTAGAGATAGTTTTGTTCAAATGTAACTTATGTCATAAGTATGTTTCTCCCTCAATTAGAAATAAATCTACCGTTAATAAATTAATTGGATAGATTTAGTGTAACATATAGATTTAGGTTTCCAGTTTGTGAAATGAAATGCAAATCAATTGTATTATATTTTAGATATTCATGCTTCTCAAATTTCAATATGGATAAAACAAGAACTGTCAAGAAGACTGCAACTGTATATGTACAACTTAATGGGGATGGGAATGCTGTTAGTCTTCGCATCTAGGAATGTTGCTAATATGAGATTATTAAGAAAACCGCAAAGTCAACAACTATCCTAGATTCCATAATATTAGGAAGCTGGCTCAACTATACTTAATATTCCGGTAATACTCAAGAAAGCGACATGGCAATTCAACAATGCATATACAACAGAACAAGATATTTCCATACCAAGACAATTCTTACTGAATTAGTATTTAGCTGATATTTCATTTTTTACAGTATTTAAAGTTATATACAGTGCTGTTTTAAGTTAAATAACAAAGTTACTTGGTTCAAAATCTGGTCTTTGTTTTTCCTTCTCTGTACTGTGCAAGGGTAAAGAAAAGAGGTGGTAATATGCATCCTCACATGTGGCTGATAGGAACTCTCACTCATATGGAAAATGAATTGGGTCGTTCCAGAAAAGATCCATACTCCCCCCATGGAGGAAATTTCTGCCATCTGGAGGGGGAGGGGAGAAAAAATTGTTTCTGATAATAGTAAATGTATTAGGACATCTGAAGGGGGTTAACTTCCTATTTCCTCTGTGGGGGTGGTATGGATGTTTTCTGGAATGACCCATTCTCATAAAGTAAGCCTTGGAGCTTTTTTGAAATCGATTTCATTCATGCTTCAACAACCGATCCCCTGCATGTACATCATTGCAAAATGTGCAGCCAGCCTGCAATGTCCAAACCACAGTTGTCCACAACATTTGTTCTCATTGAGCTGTCCATTGATGAGGAAGTGTAGTGTGGAGACAAACAATTTTGATTTGGCTGCATTTATTTAAACACTTGCTTTATTATACCTTCCCTCACTGATTCAATAGTTGCTAATGTAAATTTGTACTAGCTCTGCAGGACAGATGTGTTCAATTTTTCCTATATGGTATGGAATAAAGATCATGCTGTTAGTGTTACATGCATGCAAATGGTAATTCACAATGATGTAAAGGCTAATGAAATTCAATTATGGGTTGTCCAAAACTACCAACATTTCCTGAAGTGTACAAACTATATGCTTCAGGTAGGCGGGTTCATAACCAATATTCATCGGTTAAGTCGCTGGGGGAGGGGGTTGAAAAGTGTACTCTCTGTACACCTGTGATAATTATGGATGATTTACAGTGTAACACTAATGCTAGATTTAACTGAAAATAATTTTATAGTTATGTTGAATATATTTTAAATGTTCCATTTGTGGCATCCATTCTTGGTGGTCAGTGGCATCCATTCTTGTGGAAAATTCAAGTAGCTGTGCTCCAGCAGTTGACTGCAGTGGCACAAATTATTGACATAACCAAAATTTTAATATTGCATAGGATCTTAGATTCGTTTTTATTATTTCCTGGTGTCCTATGAGCCCAGCAAGAACTGCTTATTTTATTATTATAATTTTTAAACATGTAACAATTAAGCTATACAAACAGCAATCGTTCTGTGCCTCATTTCTGCTATAAAAATGCATATTCATCTGAGACTGATATTAAACTGTCACATGAAGCAGACAAGAGGTTTTCGTACTAGTTAAACAAGTGGTAGTATTTGAGAGGAACTAAACGTCACAAACGCAAATGGTTCTGTGGTTTGTTTGATCATACAGTGTGTGTATATATTCATACCTTCGATAACGATGTGAACATAAGCTGTCTCAACTTTGAAGTACCAAAATGATGTCTATATTCACACTACGATTTCCATTATATATTGTGCCTGATATTAGGCTGAAAGTTGGAAAATATTTGCCAGAAACGAGCTTCGCGCCTTGGCGAAGCATGCATTTTACTACAAACAAATTATTGTTGTGAAAATCCTTGTAAATCATGCAACCAATCGTAGGGCTCATTACAAGAATTATTTAGCGGTAAACCAATCATATTCATTATAACAACATCCTCAAAGCACATTCAAGGTCAAATGTATAAACCAATCACAACGCAGTTTAGAACAGCCTTTACCAGGGTCTTCTCATTTTTCACGCGCCATGCACGAAGAAGACCCTGGGGACGAGGTTGGGCCTGCACGGATGATAGGTTTTCTTGGTAGTGGCGTTCGTATAGAAACGCAGGCTTCTGATTGGCTTACACTCGTTGACAAAATTACTAAAAATAGCAAATGTCAACAACAGCATTTTGAAGAATTTGAACTTTATTCATTTTAATATTATATATTATAGGACTATCGAACAAATAAAACTAGAAATGGAAACCAAAAGCAATAGCAAAGCATCACAGCAAAAAAGTCTATCATAAATGACTTGAATCTATCGCTTAAATCCAATATACGAAACTATAACAGTATTCTGAACTTCGTCTTCGGATTGACATCAGACCATAGTATAGTACATTTTGAGGTCGTCGTGGCTTCACGGATTATTCTCATTAGTGAGCAAGTCAGCAAGCGAAGGCATACAAAAGATACCCAAATATGTACGAATAATTATATTGTCGATCCTCGCTGGCATGTCATTTACATAAATATATATCGTACATTAAACGTTGTACTGTTTACTGTATATTAACTGCTGACAATTTCGTCGTCGATACGGCTTCCACTATTGGCACACTCGTGATTTCGAAGAAATTAATAAATACATGCTCATTTATCATTTATTTAGACCACAGTTAGTAAAATTTTAAACGTATTCGGTATTCCAAATCCCAATCTATCTGACCGTATTTTAGTAATAGCTTCAAAGTATTCAGAACATTGTTCTTTCAGTCGCACATAGTACAAGTATTACTGTACATTCAAAGCCAATGGTAGTTTATTCGGCTTTATATTTGTATGTGTATTGATATCTATTTAATATTTGAAGAATTCTATATTTTTCCGAGTAATATATTGTGCGGCCCGCTAATGCTTTGTATTATTATTGTTCATGTTGCACAATGTACACGCCTTGCGTCAATTTGACAGTTGACAGTTTATTTATCGCAGTCGACGCTGATTGGTTAGCGTTTAGCAGATGCGAAAAGGGGATGAATGAATAAAACGCATGGTTCCGTGCAGGCTCACCTTTCTCCCAGTGAGCCTGTTCGCAGGCTAACGAAAGATCTGCAATGTTTCCTCCCTTTCTTAGTTTCTTACTCGTTGATATCTCGGACAGTGTTCGTTAGCTTTTCGGGAAATACAAGTCTACGGTAATTCAAGGCAGCGGAGTATATTAATTGTCGAAATTCATATTTTGGTTTTATATTCGATAACTTTGATGAATAAATATGTATTTTTAATGCACACATTGGGATTCTACAATGAAATATACTAGAATTAACAAGGTAAGATGGTGTTTGTCTTGTTTTACTAGATAAACTCGACTCCTCTGCTCCCTGTGCCTTGGCTAGCCCCAACTCTTTACAGTAGAACTTTCTCTCTACATGGAAGCCGTCCATATCCGGATCCATGACCACCGCTACGATTTTTGTTAGCTCCGAATAGCGTTGTCCGCAGTAGCTAAAAATAGATTCTCCAAGTGAAGACCCCCCACGAGACTCAGACAAACAAACCAGTGCTCTCACTTTTAAGGAATTATCCTTAAAAATAGGAATTTTGAAGAGTTTTAAGGATTTTTTTAAGGAATTTAAGTTTTTGAGGATTTTTTTAAGGAATTTCCAAAACATTTTATCCTGGACTAAAAACGTTTTGACGGAGAATAACCACGCCACGCAAATGAGATTTAAACTTGAAAGTAGCAACATTATATGGACATAATTACATATATTCGTATGTTCTCTATGTCGTAAATGTACATATGGCTGTCTTTCCATTAAAATTCTCAAAAGTTAAATGTCAGTGTATGCTGTTTCTTCTGAAATCTACAGATTTTCTAAGTTCTCAGGGCCCTAGCGACCGGGAGAGGGGGGAGGGAGGGTGCAACACCCTTAATATTGCTCATGAACAATTTCAGGTAGATATCCTGTAGATTTTCAGGTAAATTCAGGTAATTCTCAGGGCATAAAAAAGTGAACTCTCTAATCTGAATTGGAGTTAACATCAAACAAACTAAAGACGTTGAGATGTGTTGTGGCAGGGAGACAATTGCGAAATACCCTTTCTGACGATCTGGAGACTCCAAATTTCCAAAATTTTCTCAATTTCCCATTATAAACTGAAAGTAGCAATACTTATCTTCATTGTTAGGCAATACTAAAATATTGGATAGGAAAGACTCTAAAAATTCCATTCCCGACGGTCTAGAAACTTCAAATATTCAAAAAATACGGTTTTAAAGAACGTTCAGTTCGAAAAATTCAGGCAAACCAGGTGAAAAAAAAACACTTTTTGAAACTCTGTGATCAGGCCTTGTCGTAATTTTACCAATTTAAGGAATTTTAAGGAAATCTGAGGAATTTTCGAGCTTTTTCTAAGGAATTCGAAAATTCGATTGTGGGAGCACTGAAACAAACTAACATTTTGTATAGAATTGTACTAGCAGCGAACATAAATTGGTCTAAATTGACGTTTTTATTTATTTTATCTGTACTAAAACGAATTCAAATTTATCCCAAATTACAAACATGGTTAATGCTAAGCACTGTTGCTGGGGAACATGTCCAAGTGATTCGAGATACTAAGAAAAACTGCCGAAACAGGGAATTGAAAAGTCGGACGGGACGGGAATGTCTGCCGTACCAATGTGTTGATTGTTATTGACTGCGGACTGTGCTGGTTTTTCTCCAAGAACTTTCGCAGCTAACCATTTTCCCCCATCAATACATCCAGCGAACGATGCTTTCCCGAACTATTAAAAGCAATCACTAACTCGAAGAAGATCCCTACTGAAGAAGAACTTGGCGTTTTATAATTTATACCGCTTTGCTATAAGCCGGCCTCAACATTTTAACCTCTGCTTGACAGTATAAGCAGATGGATCATGCTCAAAATATGAGTCTGGGACGCCATCGTTTTCAGTGAGAGCGTCTGTTCTTAAATTTATGACTGAGAGAAGCAATAGTTTACCAGACAGTGTTTATAGGCTATTAATTAACACAGTGTTAAAGGGCGGTTCTCTATTTTACAAAACTGAATATTTAAATAACATGAATATTTGTTTTTATAATAACATATTTTTGTTGTATTGTCAAAACAAAATAGTTTTACTGGTCAACGGAAGATTTTATATTTGAGGTTTTATATAGTTTGTAGTTTATCTTTGACATTTTTTAAAAAAGTTTAAATTGGAAAGTATTAGTTTTAATTACATTCCTAATAAATCCGTATTTTATAAGTTGAATATGTAGTCAATAGATTATAGTAAACAATCCTAGCTTCTTTGGCTTAGGACTTTGCTATTAATAAAAGAGATGTTTAAAGTAATAAAATAATGCACACTAAAGCGAGTATTAAAATATAAGTTAGTATAAACATGAAATCAACAACATTAAATAGGGAACTTTAGAACTGATTCGCTAGGGCTACGAATTAAATCTGGTACGACTACGCGATTTTTTCGGTTAAATATCTGCTACTACAGACTTTCTATCGCCCTTTCTTTTGCATATCCTTTCTTTATGGCCTCTTTATAGCAACAGTTACGCCAAACCATGTACTATTATAATACAGTAGACACCGCCTATCCACAGTCGATACTAAAGTGACGAAAAAGTGTATATTTCTACTTCCAAAGCAAAAATATTTTGCACTGGCACTTCAGGTAAAGCGAAAAGTACAAGGTGTGTATGATTTCGCACAAATAAACCGTAAACAAACATCAAACTATCAAACTAACTCACAGGAAGCTCTTAATCATAATACTATTTATATTAAATGTTGCCAATGTTTGTCTGAGTCTTCGCGGGGGGTCGAATTTTCGTGACGTCAATTGCGGACAACGCTATTCATAATGATGAACTGTTGACACTTAGATAGAGCAGTGCTATTTCTTCGCTAATTTTATATATTTCCTTTCTTCGCTAATTTTCGACATTTCCAGAAGCGTTAACTCAATTCAAATTTAAACGCAGTTATCTCAGTCAATACTGTATTAAAATGCACTCAGTGGTATATATATACCGGGTGTCCCCAAAAAAGTACTCCGGTTTGATTCTAACTTAGATTTTGATATATTAGATGTCAGTTTTCGCTCACTATTTACTGAGATACTAACGTTTGAATTTATGCAAGTTTTTGATTGGTTTTTAAAAATACCCGAAAACAAGTTAAGGGGTAATAAAATTTTCTTGAACAGTTTGAACGGCTTATTCATATAATTTTCTTAAACGGAACAAAACAAAGTTGACTGTTTCTAAGTCTGAATAGGATGAATATGGTAGTTTAATAAATAATACTGTTCTACATGCCTTTTTGCGAATACATATTACTGTATCAGCGATATATTTTTCATACATTTTGTTCCAAGAATGTTGCATGTCTCTGAGGAGTTGCATACTTGTATATGTTATGTTATGGTTTAATTGTGTTTCATTTTGAGTATGCCAAGATTAACTAAGGATAAAAGAGTTTGGATTTGCTTAGAGCATGCAAGATTCCAAAACGCGGCAGAAGTTAGAAAACGATGGCCGGGTCGCTGGGGTAACACTCCTGCCCCGACAAAACGAACAATTATACAGGGTGTATAAAAAAAAACGCAACCTCGGAATTTCCTAAGAAATCACTTTGCAATTCTTAAGCATAAAAGATTTTAAGCCCCTGGGAATTGAAATCGAATTGCTACTAGATCTTATTACTGTTGTTGTGCATTAAATAAATGCATCAATTTTGCTTTATGCACTCGCGTGTGCAATAATTTTGACATTTTAAATTCCCAGGCGCCTAAAATCTTTTGTCTTTAAAACCATGTCGATTTCTTGGGAAATTCCGAGGTTGCGTTTTTTTTTATACACCCTGTATAGCACAACGCGACGTACAAGAAGTTTTTGCATGAAGCGACATGCCACGACCCAGTATGGTCTCCGACGAGCTTGCATTCGTGTTAGAGGTCACGCGATTCCGAACGAATAAATCTTGTTTATATTTTGTAACTAATAATAGGCCTACTTCGTTTCACAATAAACGTTTTCAATAAAAGTTTCATCAATTTACTGATAATAATACGTCTTTAATTAAGTTGAGCAACGCTTGGTTAATAATTTGACACATCCAGAATATGTCACCAAATTTGAACATTAATATCTCGGTCAGTTTTTTATAAATATACAACTGTACTCTATCAAAATCTAACTAAGCTTTTCCTCTATCTAATAAAATATACTTGAGTGTAATAGCTTCACTCAATTCAGAGTTATTAAGAATCAAACCGGACTAGCCGTGGTCAAGTAGAATTAATTTTCTTCTTGCCCGGCTTATACTCGTAAGAAGATCAATACACCTATACATTAGTCATTACATCACATCACGAGTAGAATCTCAAGGGGAAAAAATCATATAAAACATTCGCTGCATTAATAGCTGGCACCAGGCAAGGAAGGAAGAAATTCTGATATGTCATTAACATCACAAATAAGTAACAACGTTCCCAACTAGGCCTTGTAGCTCAGAAGGTAGAGCGTCGTTCTAGAAATGCGAAGGTCGTGGGTTCTATTCCCAGCCGTGGTGAAGTACATTTACTTTCTGCTTGCCCGGCTCATACTCGTAAGAAGATCAACACACCTATACATTACGTCACGAGTAGAATCTCAAGGGGAAAAAATCATATAAAACATTCGCTGCATTAATAGCTGGCACCAAGCAAGGAAGGAAGAAATTCTGATATGTCATTAACATCACAAATAAGTAACAACGTTCCCAACTAGGCCTTGTAGCTCAGAAGGTAGAGCGTCGTTCTAGAAATGCGAAGGTCGCGGGTTCTATTCCCAGCCGTGGTGAAGTACATTTACTTTCTGCTTGCCCGGCTCATACTCGTAAGAAGATCAACACACCTATACATTACGTCACGAGTAGAATCTCAAGGGGAAAAATCATATACAACATTCGCTGCATTAATAGCTGGCACAAGGCATGGAAGGAAGAAATTCTGATATGTCATTAACATCACATTAAATAAGTAACATCGTTCCCAACTTGCGTTCTAGAAATGCGAAGGTCGCGGGTTCGATTCCCAGCCGTGGTCAAGTAGAATTAATTTTCTGCTTGCCCGGCTCATACTCGTAAGAAGATCAACACACCTATACATTACATCACGAGTAGTATCTCAAGGGAAAAAATCATATAAAACATTCGCTGCATCAATAGCTGGCACCAGACATGGAAGGAGGAAATTCTGATATGTCATTAACATCACATTAAATAAGTAACATCGTTCCCAACTTGATCTTTTAGCTCAGAAGGTAGAGCGTCGTTCTGGAATGAGAAGGTCGCGGGTTCGATTCTCAGCCGTAGTCAAGTAGAATTAATTTCCTGCTCCCCGGCTGATACCTGTAAGAAAATCTACACACCTATACATCACATCACGAGTAGAATCTGAAGGGGAAAAAATCATATAAAACATTCGCTGCATTAATAGCTGGCACCAGGCATGGAAGGAAGAAATTCTGATATGTCATTAACATCACATTAAATAAGTAACATCGTTCCGAACTTGGCCTTGTAGCTCAGAAGGTAGAGCGCCGAATTCTGGAAATGCGAAGGTCGCGGGTTCTATTCCCAGCCGTGGTGAAGTACATTTACTTTCTGCTTGCCCGGCCCATACTCGTAAGAAGATCAACACACCTATGCATTACATCACGAATAGTATCTCAAGGGAAAAAATCATATAAAACATTCGCTGCATTAATAGCTGGCACCAGGCATGGAAGGAAGAAATTCCGATATGTCATTAACATCGCAAATAAGTAACATCGTTCCCAACTTGGCCTTGTAGCTCAGAAGGTAGAGTGTCGTTCCAGAAATGCGAAGGTCGCGGGTTCGATTCCCAGCCGCGGTTAAGTAGAATTAATTGTCTGCTTGCCCGGCTCATACTTGTAAGAAGATCACTATATGCAAAGGGTAAAGCATAGTTTTGATAGGGCAGTCTTCGCTTAATTATCAATGCTTTAGTAATGGGCAAACTTTATTATTGCTGTACAGTATGGTCAAACACTTCTGCAACAAATATAAAGAAATTGAGAGCAGTATAGAATTTTGCTTGTAGGATATTGACAAATACGGGAAGATACGATCATGTAACTCCAGCATTACGGGCAATTCGCTGGCTTCCTGTAGAGGAACACTTAAAATATCGAGAGACACTAATAACATACAAATGTATGAACTGATTAGTACCACCTTACCTATCCAAATTATTTATAAAAAGAAATGAAATTCACGATCTAAATACAAGGAATAATAAAGCGCTACACATCCTTCAACACAAAACAGTTTCAGGACAAAGAACCTTTTATTACAGAGCGGTGAAGTTATGGAATGACTTGGATGAAGACTTTAAAAAGTTACCTTGGAAAAGTTTTAAAACTGAGTTAAAGCAGAAGATGCTAAACAACAATTAATTACATTTTCTGATATTATAGATTTAATGGATTTTAAATAAATGATCTCATAGACAAATCGGTAGTCTTTAACAGACAAATAGATTTTGAATAATAGACAAATATAGACTTTAATAGACAAATAGATTTTAATAGACAAATAGACTTTAATAGACAAATAGACTCATAGACAAATAGACTCATAGATAAATAGACTCATAGACAAATAGACTTTAATAGACAAATAAATTTTAAATAATAGACAAATAGACTTTAATAGACAAATAGATTTTAAATAAATGATCTCATAGACAAATAGAATCTCATACTTAGACAAATAGATTTGAAATAAACGCTATAAATAGGAATTTTAATTTTAATATAACTATTCGTTCTGTAAATAGGTATTGAAAAACCCTCTCCTGGAATAATTCATTGAATAATAATAATAATAATAATAATAATAATAATAATAATACTAGCGAAAATAGCGAAGGTAAAGAGGTATGAACAGAGGGTGAAAAAATATAGACAGAATAGAATGTTTCAGAGTGACCAAAAAAGGTTTTATGTGGAAATAAACAATGGTCAGGACAGTAAAGTTGATAAAGTGATACCAGACGCGGGTGAAAGTATAAAGTTCTGGAGCGAAATATGGGACAATGGAATTGAACATAATAAGGATTCTGAATGGCTACATGAAATGAAACAGGGAATCGGATATTTGAACCAAAACGATTTGAAGATAAATAAGGAAGACATTACAAAGCAGTGTAAGAAGATCCCCAATTGGAAAGCGCCAGGACTAGATGGAATACAGGGTTATTGGATAAAGAAAATTACTTCTTGTCATCAAAGGATTGCAGAACAGTTAGATGAGATTTTAAATGGTAAGGCTGAACTACCTCAATGGATCACATATGGTAGGACAGTGTTGTGCTTAAAAGACCCATCAAGGGGTAATGCAGTTGATAACTTTCGACCCATATCTTGCTTACCATTGATGTGGAAATTGATGACAGGTGTGTGTCGTGTATTTAGATTATACTTTTTAACAAAATATGAATAATACATAAGCATGGCCGATCTACATATCTAATGCGCATGTCCGTGCGTATGACCGTTGTCCGTCTATATCTATATATCTAACACCATCTCTCCTCTTAAGGAATGTATCATAAAATATTGTTCATGAGTTCACTATCGTGTTCGAACAATTATGCTAACCATAACAGTAAGTAATTATAAAGCAGTTCTCTATGTAGTTTTCTTAAACAGTTTTCGGATCAAACAGTTAAGACCCCACCTCTCGGGTGGTTGGTGTGATCTAGTTGGGTAGCGTTGTTCAGATCCTGTTGTAGCCCTACCGGCTTCTTGTTGCACTACTGGTGGATTCGTGGCTAGTTCGATATCCGGCTCTGCGACAATTTCTTCTGCTGGTGCAATATTCTGGCCAGTCTCTCCGAGCTCTGGATGAGGTTCAGCCGTATCATCACTCTGGTCATTTACTTTCACACTAGAGGCTCGAAGCTGGTCGATGTGACGTCGCCAAATTCGATTTGGACCAACTTTTATCTCGTACGAAAGGGGTCCCGTTTGAGCTCGAACTATGCCTGGTAGCGACTTGTCTTTCCCACTGTAGTTACGTGCCATGACAGTCTGACCAATGGATAACTGACGTGTGGGGGAATGTCCTTTCCTCCCCGCTTGATCGATTTGCCTGTTCATCACTTTCCTTTGTAAATCAGGTTTCACCAAATCGAGGCGAGTCCGTAGCGGTCTGCCCAAAAACAACACGGACGGTGATTCTCCAAACAACATTACACATGATTATGTACACATAACATTCTTGCCAGGCACAGATTTTCGGGGGGGGGGGGTTGCATACCCCCGGCCAGTCGTCGAATGCGGGGTATTCCGGTAAGCCAAAAGGAACTTTGCCATATTGGTTTTCAGCTGGGATGCACTTTGTTTATCGCATTTCATAGCATGTTTGAAACTCTGCACAAAACGTTCCGCTTGACCGTTGGTTGCAGGGTGGAATGGGGCCGTGGTAATATGCTTGATACCATTAGTCTTCAAAAATAGTTGGAACTCTGCGGATGTAAATTGTGGCCCATTGTCGGTCACCACCTGTGCTGGCACTCCATATCGGGCAAAAATAGTTCGGAGTCGGTCAATGGTCTGCGTCGATGTGGTGGATGGCATTATTTCCACTTCAGGCCACTTCGAGTGTGCATCGACAATGATAAGGAACATTCGTCCTAGGAACGGCCCAGCAAAATCTAAATGGATTCTCTGCCAAGGTGTGGTTGGCCATTCCCAAGGGTGTAGTGGTACTTTGCCGGCTTCATTCTGTTGAAGTTGACAACCAGGGCAGCTCTTGGCTAGGTGCTCAATGTCCTTATCAATTTTGGGCCACCAGATGTAACTTCGCGCCAGAGACTTCATTTTAACAATACCAAGGTGACCTTCGTGAAGCTCGGTTAACACTTGATTACGCAACTTTGCAGGAATGACTGCTCTGTGTCCAAGCATTAGGACACCACAGTGAACTGTCAGTTCGTCTTTCTGCTGGTAAAACGGTTTAATCGCTTCATCTTGTGGAGTGGACCATCCTTTCATAACCAACTCATGGACCTTCACCAATAGAGGATCTCTCTGTGTTTCTCGTTTGACCTGTTCTGCTGTGACTGGCAAAGGCTCAAACTGCGTGGCATAGAAGAGGCCCACTGGATCTGGCTCTCCTTCTGTTGTCTCACTATGCAAGGGTAATCGAGACAAACCATCCGCATTCCCGTGTAACTTAGTGTTCTTGTATCTAATTGTATAGTCAAAACCCGCCAAGAACAAAGCGTAGCGTTGTAATCTAGCAGCAGTGACAACAGGAAGGCTTGTGCTGGGATGAAAGATTGAAGTGAGAGGCTCATGATCAGTCAGTAAGGTAAAGTTCCTACCGAAAAGGTAATTGTGGAATTTCTTGACTCCCCACACTGTAGCTAGTGCTTCTTTATCTATCTGTGCGTAGTTGCGCTCCGCCTTCGACAGGGATCTCGATGCAAACGCTATCGGGCGCTCTGTGCCGTGTGTCATGACATGGGACAGTACCGCTCCAATTCCTACAGGTGAAGCATCACAAGCCAGTTGTAAGGGAAGGTTAGGATCATAATGTGTAAGCACCAGATCTGAAACAATCATTGCTTTAACTTTGCAAAAGGCTTCTTCGCATTGATCTGTCCAGTTCCATTGGTAGTTACTTTCCAGCATTTGGTTCAAAGGATGCAGGATTGTAGCAAGGTTTGGCAGGAATTTGTGGTAATAATTCACCAATCCCAGGAAGGAGCGTACCTCTGCAACACTCTGGGGGCGAGGGGCATTCACCATTGCAGCTGTCTTGTCGGTGGTCTTGTGCAGGCCTTCACTATTAATGTCGTGGCCACAGAACGTGATCTTTTCTTTGAAGAACTCACACTTCGATTTATTGGCTCTTAACCCATGGTGGTGCAGCCGTCGAAGGACCTCCTCCAGGTTAGCCATATGCTCTGCATCGCTTTTACCCGTCACAATCATATCATCTAGGATACAACTAATACCAGACGTTCCTTCCAGAATCTGATCCATGGTACGCTGCCAAATGGCGGGAGCTGAGGTAATACCAAACACCAATCGATTGTATTGAAACAAGCCCATGGACGTATTAATTGTAAGGTACTTCTTGGATTCTTCCTCCAGCTCAATCTGATGGTAAGCTTGGCGGAGATCGATCTTGGAAAACTTTTCCCCACCAGCTAAATGGGCAAAGATATCTTCGATTCGAGGCAGAGGATACTGTTCTGCTTGTAGTGTTGGGTTAATAGTACCTTTGAAGTCACCACAAATACGAACTGAACCATCTTGTTTCGGCACTGGTACAATCGGTGTCGCCCAATCACTCCATTCTACTTTCGACAAAATACATTCGCTCTGAAGTCTCTTCAGTTCTTCCTCCACTTTCGGTCGTAAGGAATATGGGACCTGACGAGCTTTGCGAAACTGTGGTTGACTACCTTCTTTGAGGGTTATCCTTGCTTTGGCAGATTTGAAAGTTCCCAGTTTGTCTTCAAAAACCTCTGCATACGTATCCAATAGGTTTTTCAGCTTCTCTTGTGTAGTCGTGCCAGGGTTTCTATGGCTGGAATCTGAGGATTTCAACAACTTAATGGTTTTC